CCGACCCTGGCATCACCAAAAATGAGAGAGTCAGCATTCAAATTACTTGTAGTCCACATAGAAACAAATCCAGCTAATCATGAAAGACTCTTTTCTCTTGAATGATGGAAAGATATATAGTGCAGCATAGTACTATCTGCATGAACTTTGTATTGTCATCAAAGCCTTGAGCCATATAAATAACATATTCATACCAATTCATCTAATACCAATGAAGGGTACATGATATTGAGGTCCCATGGCATTCAGACGTCAAAAGATCACAATAAAGGAAGTCTCACATGTAGATCCTACAAAACCTGAAGGTTTGACTTCCAATCTATGATTAAGCCTTTTGAGTAGAGCGGCACCGAAAGGAAAACAGGGCAGGACATTGCGGATTTTCATGAAAAACATGGAATGATAAAATCTCATACATTTTCAGTGAACTCAAGAGTTTGGATTTCTGTCAACCAATATGAAATAACCAAAAGCATTAACACAGACTTTCATTACCTGGATGATTGGAAAAAATATGCTACTTGAGATTGAAATCTATGATGCCTAGTTTTAAGTGAACATGCTTTGTTCTTTAGTGTGAGCTTCATATAACTGAATTTTAATCTGCAGCAGTATGGTACAAGCTATGGAGTTTGGTAACTTGATAGACATTTGTCGAGAAAAACAAGGAAAAGAATCATACACTACCCGAAAATTAATGTTTTCCGGGCAGAACACAAAAATGGTTTATGTGATACCTGTGTTTCAGAACACAAATATTCTTTATTACCACTCAAACATGGTCCCCAGACCACAGATCAATCAAATCCTATCATGTCATTATCAGCGGGAATCTCAGACAAGGGTGTATCAACCTGGTTCTGATCTTCGAGATAAATCCTCCATGATCTACTGTATTTTCATTCTCATAAGTTCTCACTAACTCTGCAGCAAAGGTGTGGTCCGTCACTTCCTGATGTTTGTCCGCAATCTGTATGACTCCAGAGGACAAAAAGCACAGTATAGTAATCAAATTAATATTGTCATTTAGCGGAGTTTGAGCCTGGCCACCAATTGAACAACTCAATATTTTTGTTCCACAATCTTCACAGTTTTATTTTGACTATCAAACTATTCGATGCATCCCTTGTACATATGACTTATGTATTAAATCAGCTTGAATAAGAATCCATAGCATTCGTCAAGACTCTCCTTATTGATGAGATCCTCCTTCAACTCATCAATACATAAATTTCAAACCACCGATCATTGATAGCCATGCTTGGAAGACCTCAATCTTCTTTTTGATCAGGATCCTTACAAGTCACATACTCTGCTATATATTTGCAGTCTTGTTCTCCAATTTCCTTTTCGACTCCACTGCCTTTTTTCATCCACCTCATCTGTGCGGAAATTTGTTGCTTCATTTCACATAACTCTTGGTTCTTTTCTACTGTTTGAACATCAATTGTCAGGATCTAGAGACAGCTAGATAAGCCTAGTTTTGTCAGCTTTTATCAGTTCGTCTCAGCAGCTCTGGACACGATAGACATACAGAAGGTATGAGTCTCTCGGTCTTCAAAACCTCCCCTTGATTTCCTGATATAGCTCTGATTGTGCTTTGTATCTTGGCTACCGAAAGCTTGTGCGCAATGCCCTGCTTGTTTGATCCCGACGCTCCCGGTGTATCCAAACAGATGATGTTGGATTGGATACACATTAACCACCCAAAGACTATAATCCGATCGAGAATCGACCCACTTAGTCTGGCACAGTTGGTGCGATCACTCCAACCAGAATGTACGTTTTTACGATTGAAATTCCGTGGCTCATACGCTAAACCATCAAAACTGATCCAGGCCTGTCAGTAGACTTTCCAAACTCGGCAAGTAACACATCAACTCATTTAAGTGCGGCCGAAGGTGCTTCAGAGATCGACACATCTGGTAATATCGCAAACGGTCAGATCGTCACTTCAGGCATCGGGATCTCTGGTGCTACAGCAAACTATCCAAAAATCCGATCAATTCAAGAACTTCAAGATTTAAAACCAGCGATTCCACCGTCCCTCAACCCGACCACAGGTACTGCACGCCAGGGAAAGAGAGTTGCATCGTCAGAGATTAAAAAAAGCCCAAAAACTACCGAGACAGGTATGTATCTCAAAGTCATCCCTCGGATCATCAATGATACAATTGTTAAAGAGGTATATGCCTAAATTGTTTGAATCATCAGAGGCTCGTGGTACTAGTTCCAAGATCACCAAAAAGAAAAAGGTTTGTCTCCTTCACCTGTCCTTCTCGAGTTATCTCCTCCAGAAATTGACATATACCCAATGTAGATCAATCACTCCTCGCGATCTGTCAACAAATCTACTGCTTCACTTGGCGCTATCAGTCCTCAGAGCGGCAACCCACCGACTTTACCTGCGATCGTAGCCTCAGGTCAATCTCCTGTTTTTGATGAAGATGAACAGGATCTCAAGAATCTTCGAGACTCCATTCGAATGCCAGTCTTACCTTTAGCCACCTCTATCACCAAGCCAGATATAGCCACGAACAAATCGACAACACCACAAGTGGTTTCTACTGAGATGAACGGCCCCACTCGTTCCAAAAAACCAAAGGATGTCGGACCTGCTGATCTGATTGAGTTCTCAGATAATGAGCTGATGGATGCTGGGAACCTTGGTATGTAACAACTCATCATCTGGTCTAGTCATGGGCTGATTGTGTTCAATTGCTTGCTCTAGTGCTAGGGAAAGATATCCCCCCGATTTTGATCAATAATATGACTAAGACAAAGTCTGGTGTTGATGTGTTTTTGGAAGAAAGGGGACGAGAGCAACGTAGTGAGTTTCCGCCAAAGTTTGTGTGTTTGAGAATGGACTTCTTTAACACAAATTCGTCTCTCCAGTTTGCCAGCTTGAAAATTCGCTTGCTCAGGTGTTGGACGGAGTTGAGCAATTGAGAGAAGAGAATTATCAATTCGCGATGAAATTCAAAGACTTAGGTTAGTACGATCTGAAGCTCTGCATTGACCAATCATTGCTCTAGCTGATTTGAATTTGTTAGAAAACGTCACCAAATCGACTGAGGCAGTCAACAATCGTCTTGACAGAAAGGTACAGATCATTGAGAGACTTGAACCCATGGTCACTCATCTGCAAGCTCAAGTGGACACATTACGTCACAACTTTGACGATCATCATGAAGACGTAGTCACTCACGGGCAGATACTTGAGAGGTTGATGCAGGAAGACGAGGACGAGGAGGATACAGAAGATGCTGATGATGCCTGAAGGAGTCTACAAGCAACATCTTTAAATCTCAGCTGAACATTTATATTGATGATCATTCTTCATGCTATAATCACAAAAGATGAATCGGCCTAAGTTTACATGACCTTCTCAAATTTTCAAAAATTCTTTGCTACTTGTGAATGTAACTGGTTTTCGTCTTTTAGATATTACTTTGTTTGTACATGTAAAACAAAAGATGAGTTACAAGCTATATCTACAAAAAATGTGTTCTTTCCTCATGCGTTTGGAAAATTCCTAAAGCCGTAGAAAATTATTGACACAATTTTTCACTTTTCTAAACTGCGGGAAAAGTATTAATATACGTATGTAGATACATCACTTTTCTAATTTGTCTCTCTGAGACAACTCGGTGTGGCGCGAAAAATAATAACCTCAATTAATTATTAATTGTACAGTTACAAGCCAATGTATCCTTTCAATCTATCAGATAGCAATAATCTACTTAGATACTTCGGGGAGTACATTAGGTTTGATCTAGAACAAACGGAAGAATTCGTGATGAAGGTGCCTTGAGATCAAGACTCTGAAACACAATTCACGCACATATCGGTGGCCCATTTGTTTAGAGATTGCCTTGGAGTGAGGACAGCGGTGTTAATTAGGATAACAGCGTACACATACGGAATTTGTCAACATAATTCTAATAAGAATCTTTGACAAGATTAAAGTAGTGTATATAAATTCTTCTGCATATATTAATCATTGAACATGAGACACGAGGCCCACGGACTTTGATAATTATCACATCAGAAGGTTCTAATTCGATGAATCAGGCCTATATAAACTACATATAAGAACGCACTCTTCCAACCGGGTGTTCATCCATATCTCCCCAAGCTTAGATATCTCTTGATCTGATACATCATCATGTCATGTCCAGTCCAATATCACGTTTTCCTCCCCAATTATATCCTTGAATATGTCGTTAATGAACCTGAACGTATGATTGATCCAGACTTTTTTCTAAGCAAAGCCACTCCCGCCCAAATTGTGGAGGTCATCCTTTCGTTTTATCCGTATTTCTCTTTCACTCAAAATGCAAGAGAAGATCATGAGCTCCTCCTGAAGATTTTTGTCGAAATGGTAGCCCCCCGTCTAAACAACATAATCATCCCTGAAAGCCCGACCACAAACTATGTTCAAGTCAACCTGCACAACCCAACAACCACCGTTCAACCCACCAACAGATGGGTAAATTCCAGCGCTGATATTGACGCCAAACGGATCGAATTTTTCAACGAGCGTTGTCTTCTGAACCTCAAGAACGGGCGCTTCCGTCTCGCGGCCCTAGATCTTGAGCGATTCGTAGAGAAGTACAAGTATCTCAATCATGCTGAGATCGAAGAGCTTGTTCATGCTCAAGATGATCCCGACGAGGAATCCCACGAAGCTGCGGCTAACCTTCGAAGCGCCCACGAGTCCGTCGAGACAATTCAGCTTCTTCTACGCGAACCCAAACTCTCACCTACCTCAGTGCAAGAGCTCGAAGAGCAATTAAGAGGTGCAAGAACCTCATTGATATCGTATCAGAGAGCATTTGAAGCTGTCGCAAAAGACGGTGCATTCATTCATGCTTTGAGCAATCATCATAGGTATGTTATCCCTCACAATCTCCTGTATGAACATCTAGAGTCTACTCTTAACTCATTATATACATAAATTAACTTGTAGAAAGATCCTCGAGAAGCATAGTACTGGTCAACATTGAAGTCCTCATATGCAACAAAGATGTATGTAAAATATCGTTTGATTGTAGCAACCATCATGACAAGATTGTAATCTGACACTTTGTTTCTTTTGATTTGATGCTTTGACTTTTCTTTTCCTATTTCTTCTCGGTCTCTTTTTCTCATCCTTTCCGTTTTGATTTTTTTGATGTCAGAGTTGTATATCATTAGACTAGTTTTCATGAGATGAACAAGTTGATCAAATTACATACGGAACAACACAAGGATTAAAGGAAACAATGTGATAGACCAATTTTAGTATGTACAGCATTATGTGATGCAAGTGTAGGGCAGGTTGATGATCAGACTTTGGCTTGATAATGATACATATAACTCTATATGGTTTGAAAAATTGATTGGGTGCTTTTTTCACAAAAAGATGCATGATCAGCTCCGGGGTCCACTTGTTCCAAGGACAATATTGGAGAGTATTGTGGTGCTAACTCAATGATCTTAATTGGGTGAGCAACTGTGCGAGTCACACCTTTTCTCACTAGAAAAGGTGTGACTCAACCTTTTCTCTGAAGAAAAGGTGGGACTCGCATGTTTTCTCATGGCAACAAACCAAACTTATAATTTTTGTTCTGTATAAGGATTTGACAAGCAATAAAGGATCAACGGAATCCAAAAAAAACGTGTCAGATGAAAATTCTGGTTGATTACAATCTTTTGATCCAACGACTGTAAGTTGAGATAAATGAAGGAACAAGAAATATAATTCCAAAGAACAATTAGCAAGTAATTTTCGTAATTTTCTCACCCTTAGAAACCAAGCGTGTCTAAGGCAATAAGTATGGCAGGTAAGACAGGTGTAGGATCGATATCGAGTGGAGATTTTTGTTTGGAAGTGAGACTATCCAAAAAGTCTTTTGAGTAGCAGTCCGTCGGGAGGTTTTTGGGAACCGAAATCCTACTTGCAGGTGCATTTTGCATACGAAGACGAGGACGGGAGCGACGCCCTCTAGGAGATGAGTTGGATGCGGTAAGACTGTCTTTTTGACGAGATTGGCAGCTGTCGAGGCGTTTCCATACACCAGCCAACTCCCCACTACGCCACGAGATATTCCGAACTATTATTGAGCCTGTCTCTCCTGGAGAAGAATTGATTGAAGAGCTTTCGGTATCAGTTTCGTCATCACTGCAAGCAGCTTCAACAATCGGTATGAGAGGCCAAAGTCGTTGATTTGCTAGCACAATTTTTCTTCGAGCGGTTTTGAGCTGAATTCAAACGGGGTATTCTGTTAGGAGCGTTTCGAAAATGATGTGAAATGATTACTTGGAACTCACCCGACCTAGCCTGGTTGTACGCCTGTTCATGTCAGTTGCAGCCTTCTGACGATCTTCTTCCCACTGCCCCTTACGATATCTAAACACAAAACAAATCAATGATATGAATCTATAAGAAATCTCAGAAATGATAAAGAATTCATTTGAAAACGAAGCTTCGACATACCTTTTCTTCAAGCTCTGAAAATGGGTACTAAAGTATCTTTTGATGAACTCCTTATCCTCGCCGTCTAAGGGAACTCCTGGATACTCGCCGCATTCAGCCAACTTAAGAAAAATCTTCTCTGAAATATCCCATAACCACTTATTGTCTAGTGATTGTGCAGATTGACTAAAATCGGGGCGAAAGGATTCCAAACCAACCGAATGCATTAATTTTCGGATTATTGCTAATTGTTGAGGAGACGCATCTGGATGTCCAGGACCATCTGGGTTTGAATCTTCAGCATCTTCATCGTCGTGTAAGGGCAAATCTTGAACATTGATCTCAACACTATCGAGATCATTCTCGTATATCCACTTGTCTTTATCTTCAGGGCGCGCGGGTGGTGGGAGTGGGTCCGTGTCTGATTTTTGACCGAGCATCACACTAATATGAAACCTGATGTATGCCTTTACAGAAAAAGGTGTCATTAGGTAGAAATGTAACGATGTGAGGCTTAGGTTTGCTTACTGATATACGGCCACCACGGGTCTTATTTTGGAACCTCTTCTCGGGAGTTCCATTCACGTGTCTATCCACCACTTGAGTCAAAGCTTTCACCTCATCAGTAAGTCTATTGACCTTTTCGTCTGTGATTTGCCACAAACGCTTCATCTCGTTGTAAGAAGGGTGACCTGGATCATCACTTCCTAGAAGCCAAACAATTAGACTGTGCGTTATAACCTTCGGATGAAAATCTGACAAAAGCTTACTTGTATAGTCTCTGTTCTCGTCGTATGATGGTCTTTCTCTATTGTTTTTTGCTAGAAGCCAACTAATTAGACAACTTGTAACCTGTAGATTGAATTCCTATGGAAACTTACTCGTATTCTCTCTATCCATCCCCGATGAACCCAAACCTTCTTCTTGATGATCCCCCGCCTCTTTACTACTTCTTCTACTCCCTTTTCGTACTCGACTGGTCTCAATACAGTCTCCTGATTCCTCATCGTCTCCGACTTCCTGATCCGGTTCATAATCATCATCACCTTCCTCCATATCTCTTTCCTTCCCTTTATTGTTGGACGAAGCTGGTGTCGTGCTCAAGATTGTTGGCTTTGGTCGAGGATGTACAAATCTTCTGTGTTCAAGACTGGGAAGTATATGTACCGTTGGTCTTGCGGTTAGTTCTTGTGTGTTTGAATTGCTCGGACCAGCTGCATAGAATTGTCTTCACACATCAGACTTGTTAACCATACAAAACAAGAAAATTCCCGTAAGAATATATTTACCCTGGCATGATGCTTGAGGATCTGATTGGAACGTGAATTTGACTCCTTTTTTGAAGGTGTTTAGATCGACGGTGCGCTTCGGCGGTACAATGACTGTAATGATGATCCAACTGGATTTTAGACGCCAACTGATTCAACTGAAAACCTAATTACCCACTCACTTAGATCTCGGTATATTTTGCAGTTCTGTACCAGTTCAGCCTTATCCATCCCCCTACTGTCCACCCCAACGCCAGAGATCATTTTGACCAAGTCGGGTATATCAAAATTTGAAAAATCGACTTCAACCTCTGGTGAGTCTTCTTCTTGCTCCACTATGATACTGTTGTCTGTTGTCGTATCCACAGTTGCCGCGGGCTGATTCTGTTGATCATTGGATATCCTAGGTCGCTTCTTGGTGACATGCTTTGAGAGGAGATCCAGAAGTCGGTTTCGAGAGGTTTTGGCGCCTACCATTATTCCAACCTTTTCAAGAGATTTAGTTTTCGAAGTTTCTAGCATAGTTATCGTGTAATCAGCTTCTCGTAGTTGAATGTCACAACTCAAAAGATAGAAATACACACTCACCATCTTGTTGTTGATCATCGACGATATCATTCTTTCTTTTTTTTGAAATCTTCTGTGAATTTGAAGGATTGTTTGTATTTGGATTTGTATCGTCCTGGGATTCGCGATGGGATTCAACTTGTTGACTGCGGCTGCTGCGTGTTTTACGACCACTGCCACCTGCTTTAATAGAGGCATTTCTAGCCATGGAGACCAGCTCAAAATTGGACGGCACGGAAAAGAGATTGATACTGAAGGAGAGTCGAGAGTAGTGAAGTTGAAAAGAATGCTAAGTATTCATGTTCGTGTCAGGACTCGGGGGCGAGATTTATGTGTGAATATTCATCACATCATCACAAAGAAAGTCCCTCGTAGCAACAGTGGACAGTTTCTTTGGTCCTTTGAAAACTGAGGTCAGAATTCAGCTTGACCATTGACAATGGTTTCATGAATTTGTATCAAGGTATATGTATTCAAAAATCACAAAATACACCCACTTGATGACTCTACATTCGATTGAGATGACTAATGTGACAAAAGCTTTTGAAGTCTTTGCGAGTCACATCCCTCATGAGCAAGAGTTGCTATTAAAATAGATATAGAGATATATGACACTCTATATATCTATGTACCACTTTAATATCATTACTATACTCGATTGAGCTTACAATACATACTTTGGTCAACATCAAGATCCCCTCAGAAAAATCAATGTAACATTTTTGTTTCATTGCTCGAGTTAGTTTTTATCAGATTCAACGAATGAAATAACTAATTCAGATCATTTTATAAGTATAAAGAGCAACGATCCTTGCTGTCTTTTTTTGTAAACATCTGTTTTGTATTGTTTTCGATCTTTGAGGAAAAAAATTTTACCTTTCGGTTGAGACAAGTGCTACAGTAGGAATGTCTAACTGCCTATGAATCACTCCGGGTTTATACATCATCCATGCACAATGTGCTACAATCTCTTCAAGCTTTACCATACAGTCTTTTGTTGGCAGCCAAGCGCGCAAGCAAATTTGCACATCAGGTGCATCTATCTGGTCGAATGGATCAAATTTCTTCAATCTTGCTGGGAGTTCGGTAAAGCACTGAACTTGTAGCCATGTTTGAGAGACGTTTTCTGAGTTTTTTGACAATCTAGAGTGAGTAAATATTGAGAATATCCTTCCGAAGCCAATTCGATTTGTTTCGCTACATCGAAAAGTGATAAAACTGTCTTTTTGGCTGCCAGAGAAAGTTGAATATGATACGTCCTTGTGGGTTATTTGTTTGTGAAAGATCCCTCGAGGCTGAACTGGACGAAAGCCAACGGCTTCGTCACGGTCAAGTAGACAGAAATCTTCAGGCATCATCCATTGGAACACTTCGTCTTTTTGTCCATTCAATTGTGAAATTAACATTTTCAAGACATTGTTTTCAATAGTTATCATTTTAGAATTAGAAGTTCTCCTGGGACGGCGCTTCTCTGGCTCGTAAAGCGACTGAAGCCTTGTAGTGTACTGTTTGAGAGGACCTGGAAGTTTACAGTCTTTCAGAAGTGCTGCCAAGTTTCCCGCAGAGCAATATCTCTTGAGGAAAGTTATTTCGAGTTCACCTAGTTTATGCAAAAACAGTGAATGGTCAATAAATGAAAGTCAGAAGAGTGAGAGAAATTGAAATCACCAATATGATTGTTGTGACAACCCTTGAGTATACTACCCATCAATCTTTCAAAAACAAAAGACCACCACGCACGAACTGGACCAAAACGCTTGAGCAGATCTGTCAAATGAATTGACATATGATGGTTTGGAGCAAGATGACAGTGTTTGAACATGATGAGTGAGCCTTCCAGGTACTGCTTGATGTGGTATTGGTATCTTTCTATTTGCTCAAATGTTATATCCCGTTTCAGAGCAAGATTAACCAGGGTGACTAAATGAAGAAAATTTTTTAAAAGTGATGTCTTCACTGGATCTTTACCAGACCACAATGGAATCAAAATCAGGGGCAACTGAATGGTGAATAAATTCCTCCATTCATCCGCTTTCAACTTCCCAAATGAGGCTTTACCAAGGACTGGGATTGCGCGTTTGATCCAGCTTGGAATTTTGATCAAATGTAGGCGAGAATTGATATGTTCCAACATTTCTTCATCAAAGATAATCTCATCCGGAGGCGGTGACTCCCATTTTCCATTCCATCCTGAATGACCGAGTGGATCAAAATCTTCATCACTTGTATTGGTGTTGTCTTCGAAAGACACATCCTCAAAGCGTAAGTCATCTGCCTGTGCTTCTGCTTGAGTTTCGAATTGATCTTCATATGCTTTTGTAGGTGGTGGCTGAGAGTGTTCGAGTATAAGATCTTGAAGCTCTGCTTTGGTTATTGGTGGTGCCTGATTTTCTTCACTCTTGATATCTTTCATTGCCCAAAACCTACGCAGATGCCACGAGAGAAGACCAAGCAACAAGTTATGCATAGAGTCGACCACATGGTAATCAATTATATTCCAATAATCAAGCTCTAACAATACTGAATAGCGAACTCCATGAGTTTCGAAGATTTTTTTGCGCTCTTCAACACTCTTTGAGTCACGTGCTTGGAATGCCCAGACTTTGTGCTTACAGGATGTACGCCCTGGCCACTGACTTTGATCCAAAACATTGATTTCATCTTTAGTGAGGAGACAAATAGAGCAGAAATATCTTGCTGTTGCGCTTGGAAACCCAAGGGATCTTCGTAAAGCTGGAATGTCGGCAATAAATGGCAATAGAGCTACTCTGATTAGACGTCCTTTTTTGTATTGATGAGTACGAGATAAAAGCAATCCTGGACTCCATAAAGCTTTTAGTTCAGTTACAATTGGGCGTAATATCCAATTCATTTGTTCCAGTGACGGTTCGCGGGGGCCGGGTGCAATTCCCACTACAAAGACATTTTCAGGTTGATGTCTAATGTCAAGTGGAAGTGTAAGGCACACTAAAACAATAAAAGTGATTGAAGAGTGTTTTCCGCTGATTTTGTTTCCATAAGGATTAATTGCATCAACAAACATCCCAAAAGTTAAGTTTCCACTCCTAGCAGTGTACTGGCTACCATCTGACGCTCGAAATTCTTTCCAGATTCTTGATTGATGAATGTCGCTGAATTTACCCATTGGGTTGAATTGTTTTTGTGATTCTTTGAGAGACTCATCAAGCCGTGCTTCAATACCTGGGCGTGACATCAACCGAGCAATCCAATCAGAAAGTTTTTGAAATGCATATCTACGAACTGGTCTTTCCTTTCCGCGCTTGAAATGCAGTAGTAATTGGCCACATGTTTTTTCTAAAAACTCTGAATTATCAGGCTTGTAAGCGCCCTCTGATTGAGGGATTTCAGAATCAGGATCAGATACTTTGGGCGGTCCACCGGGTATTTGAGAATATCGATGTGTGCATCTGATTGGGGTGCGTTCGAGTGGGTAGAGAGCAAAACACGATTCACAACAGTTCACCTCAATGAGATCAGGTTCGATGTTGAGCCAAGTGATCGCTGTAGTGATTGTTTTTGGAATCCGCCTCAAGATTGATTCATCAGACATTGATAGAAGAGCACGAGGTTTGAATATGTTGATTGCTCCACTCAAGCAGAGCTCAACTATGATCTTGAGACAATCCAAAAGCCATGATGCCGAGTTCGTTGATATGTTTCCAAACACACTAAGAATTGCAGCCACTAGAATAACGTGAAGTAGTACGGGATTCATGTTTTCCAGTGTGAACTGGTAAAACCGATCTGTAGGGAAGAAATCACTGAGATCAGAGGTTGTGTTGATTATGATGCACCACAGAGTTTACCAGAAAAAGACCTCACCGCAGTTGTACACTTGGACACCGGCCGCCTTTGCGGATGTGGAATCTAAACACATTTTCGATAATACAGATGATGTGTTTTGATCCCCCGGGTAGGGTTCTCTTGATGCTGTACCAGTGTCCAGCTCTGGTGGAGTTCCTCGAAGACCAGATTCCAAGGGGTGAACATCCTGGTTGCTGGGTGTCAAACCAGTTCGATGAGCCTCGAAAGTACCTATGGGCTGTTGTGACATCGGGTTAGAACCAGAGGATTGTGATTGTGGATTTTTTTCTTTCAATCGCAAGCGAGCTATAGATCCGATGAGGGACGCTTGACTTGGTGAACGGTTTCGAGCATTGTGAGAGGTTGGTATGTCTTGTTCAGCAGACGTGCTTGAGGTGGCCTCATTCACTTTGTCAGCAAGTTCATGAGCCATCAAAGTTGCGGGTAATACCTCCACTCCGACTTGAGTCACCCCATTTGCATCAACATATCGACCCAAGTAGCAATCGAAAGCACGACAGACACATTTGACTCGATGGGTATTGTTTTTTTTCTTCGTGATAGGTGACATGCTCTGATTTAATCCAGCAAAGTACGATAAAAGGAGGAGATTGAAAGCTCGAGTTACTGAGGATCTTTTGAGAAGATCTTACGTATATCGCAGCGAAATGAAAGTCAAGATGGAAAGATACTCGACAGGCTGTGATGCAACATTGTAGATAAAACAAGTCTCTACATTGCACTACGGTTTAGTGAATCTCGCATCATCAGACACGGGGATGGTGCTATCCTTGTACATGTTTCACTTTTCACAAGTGTAAAAAGGAGATTTCAACCTAATCAAAGTAAAGAATGTGATTGGTGTAGCATGTGGGTAGGATATTTGCCCAGGATGTTATTTGTTATCATCACGATCGCGAGTGCCCAAGGGAGGCAGTTTTTAAATACAAGACACTTTGATAAAACTCATCATGCATCACTCTAACCTCACATCGTATGAAAATTTTCATGAGTATATTCAAAGGTTAAAGCAATATTGATTTACGGCTAGGAATCTTGATTTGAATCTGTATAAGTTACAATCAGTTAGAACTATTGAATATCAGACATCGAGACAGGGACTTTGTTTCAAAACCTCATATATGATAGTTGATTTAGTCGAGGATCACTTTAGTAAGAACAGGAAAAAGGGTAAGAAAACACTACTGATACAAGTTCGGTGATCCAGGCATTTGTACAAACTTTGACCCAGACAGGGTCAATTCCGTACTTAAACATCATCCCGACTCCATAACAAAGATGTACAAAACACTACCCGGTAAATAAAGATTCCTCGTCTAGGTCAAATATTGACTTGGTTGAGAGCAAAAGTACAAGTAACTTGATGATCGCAGAAGATATTTGATAACCGTCGTCTGAAATTAAAATAGGTTGCATTAGATTGTTAGTCTGTGGGATCGAATTCAACAGGTATGCATGAAACACGAAATAAGAATAAGATAGGGTGTACGAACCGATTACCAAGGATCTTTACGCAAAAGTGAGTAGTGGAACCCACGGACTAAGAGCCCAGGCGCGACTTCTTCGTCCAGTACAAATTTGATGTAGAGATTAACGAGGACAGCGTGACTCATTGGAGTAGAATGGACATATACATGGGGAGCACGGTCTTGTAAGGTAAGTCGAAGCTCCTCCATTAATAGAGTCTTGACTTGTGGTCGTTGGACAATATTGGGTGGCTTAATGTACTCTACTTGCCACGGGATGTTGAGATCCTTGTCGACATGCTGCTTATATAATAAGAGCAGCCCGTCGTTGGTTACCCCGTTTGGTATGATAACTTTACGATCAGTCTCTAAAATGACATCAATGAGCTCTTGTCGCTTGACTCTTCGGGAGAGCGGATTGAAATCTTTTCGATCGGTCTGCATTGGTTGTGGAGGTGCAGGTGCTCGGTAAGGCTTGAGAAAGGGGAAGACATCTTTCATGAAGGCATCGATCAACTTGTCTTTTCGGGAAGTCGGACGAGACTCGGTTGCTGGATTAAAGTGAACAAGGATCCGATAGTAATCAATGTTTTTATAACGCTCCTTCTTTTCTTCGAAATCATGCTCGAGGAAGTGTCGAAGGTTGTCAGGTAAAGTTTGAATTTTAAAGTACGTTGAATTCAGAGTGTCCCCATGAGGATATTCGACAGATATATGGGAAGGGTTTGGGACGGGGTTGATTTCCGATGGTAGTGGTGGCGCTTTTGCGTCGCTGGTTGCTGGCTGGTTTGGATTGCTGCCCTGTGGAGAGGTTGTAGTAGGCGACTTCTTCTTCGACTTCCCTGGCATATTGACAAGCGTGCTTTAGGACTGATGTGTTGGGGATTTGAATGGTCAGAAAGGAATATACAACTCTGTTTCATGAATGATGAGAAGATGATTCATACCTGAAAAGGAATGGTTTTGTTCTGAGCTGGATGATGAAGATGCTGATATTTGGGGTTTATAAAACTCTAGCACGAATAGGAAGAATAGACCACCTCAGACTACGAGATCAACTAAGTAGCAAAAGATATGTCCGGCTCAAAATACTTCACAGTTCTAACGATGAAGGGACAAGGACTTCCACAAGACAAAAGGTAACGGGGTCAATGGCCACTTCATTGAATGTTTACTTGCATGTTCTGACCCTCATGTTTGGATTCTCGGTGATGCAGAGGGTTTGGTTGTTGGGTTAAATTGGAGACTTGCATATGTACGTATGTAATATGTGGTCCGATTCAGTGATAGAAGTAATAACAAATACAGTTTGTGAAGATGAGGAAGTCGGTATCAAGTCATCAAGCACTTCCCATTTCAGTGGGATGATTGCTGTGTGTTATACAGTGTTCGTGAGAACAGGCTAGTAACCACGATATCTGAAGGTTCTCTGAGTTCTTTGACATTGTAGAGTTCTGAAGCCCAAAGAGACAGAGGCTCTTAACGGATGATTATCAAAGTTATAAAGGAGCTGACCAATCATCAATACAACTTGAAAGCACGCAGTTCAGGAAAGCTACAAAAGACAATTAACAGTCACTAGCAATTTTAGCAGGAATGTTGCAGCTTTCTGCTTCTTAGAATATATATTTCTGGAAAAGATTATTTGTGTGTTCTGTGGTTCACCTATGACACAAATTATTTATGTGGTCCGCCCGGAAAACATTAATTTTTGGGTAGTGAAAGAAAAAAACACCAGTGTCACAGCATTACTTTTCGTTCTTAATTCATTTTGAGACATGCAATGCAAAATAAGTGACCGATCAAACTGGCACTGCGCGGCAAGGCAGGAACAGGCCTAAGTCAGGTTTTTTATGATGATCACTGTAAAGATTCTTTGATTCGTTGTACCTGAATGGCAATTATCTTGACGAGGATTCAATAAAAAATGGTTCCTTGAAATTCTTTCCAACAAACATTCTCTTCGATATCCTATCATCAATATCATCAATTATATTATCCTCATCACCTTCCATATAATCATCAACTTGAAATCCACTCCAAGTTTAAAATAAAACATCATTCATAATGGCTTCATCATCGTCATTGACTGCTGCCGTCCAACCCCCCTCCTGTCAGTAACCTCTTCCGAATAAGAAACAATATCCAAGAGGCGTGAAGCTGACAAGGATCTGATTTTTATTTCTTCAATAGCAATCGAAGGACAAGCAAGTGTTTGTCGCCAAGAGGTTGAAAGTAAGAAACGTACATCATCGCCACATGTATCGCCTAAACAAACGTCCTTCGCACAACTATTGGAGCCTTGGTTTGAAATCACATTGTCATCAACGCATTCTCGGCGCCCATCGTATTCAAACGAAGAGTTTCAACCAATTCCTCGATCCTTGATGCCGTCTAACCCTATTCTCGCCGCGGGTTTCAGTTTACAATCTATCACGGACACGACACCTGGCGTATTACCACTGCCAGCAATGAACTCACAGCTGCTATCCGTCGAAGCATGGGATTTGAATTCACTTGTTAATTTCAATGCAAGTGACATGTACCATGGATTGCATTCAAACAACTCACCTCTATATAATCCGTATGCAAACGCAATACACCATGGATTATTCTACGATTCGCCTGTTTATGCTCCTAATGCAAGTGAGATGTGCAATGGTTCACACTCAAGAGATTCTCCCGTCTATAACCCTATCCCAAGGGACCA